ACCCATCGTCGCCTCCTCCGGTAAGAGGGAAGGGGTAAGGAGGGGAGGAAGGATGGACGGGGGGATCGTTCAACCGTTGAACTCACGTTTTCCTCGTTGTGCTCATCGCAATCCTTGTACCCGTCCTCCTCACAGGGGCCTCTCTCATCCTGCTGCAGCGAATTCTCGTCATCGCCATAGTCGTCTTCCTCCTCATCCCCTTCTCATCCGCCTCTTCACCATTCTCCTCTTCCTCCGCATCATCCAACCTTACCCTCAATATGAAACTCCCTCGTCCGCCTCCTTGTGATCCTCCTCTTGTCCCTGAGTATTAGTCTGCCCTACCTCCTCCTCATCTTCTTACCTCACTCGTCATCGTATACATTTGCGCGCAGCTGCGTTCTATCATCATGGATCCTGGTTGACATCCTTCTCCACATTTGTCAGCCTCCTCCTGCCTTCCCCACCACCGCCACAGCCATTCTCCTCATCATTATCATTAGCATCTTCATTTTTGCTGCTGAGCTAATGGCCGTCCCCCTATCCTCCTCTTGTTCCCTTTTCTTCGTATATCGGGGATGGACAGACCTCCCTTTAGTAAAACGTGGTTTAGTGAAAACGGCCTCGGGCCCAAACCTGGCGGGCGCAAGCCTGGAAAATAACGGCCGCGGCGCCCTCTCGAGAACCGAAAACGGACAATTCACTAATCGGCGTGTCACTGTTAGGAGGTCTGTCCACCCCCGAGTATAACCCGCTTCTGTCCATCGAGGTCGATCCCCAGACCTCTCCGAAAAGTGACCTTGGACAAAGACTGCGCTGCAAATCCAGCCGTGCCGACAAGGCCCACCCCCCCCTGGGCCCCGCGCAAATCCACAATTGAGAAACGTTCAAATCAATCGCCCTCATCCTCCACCTCCTCCTCGTCCTCCCCGTCCTCTCTACCTCGTCCTCCTCTACCTCGTCCTCCCCCTCTACATCTCCACCTCCCCCTCTACCTCGTCCTCCCCGTCCTCTCTACCTCGTCCTCCTCGTCCTCCTCGTCCTCCTCGTCCTCCTCGTCCTCCTCGTCCTCCTCCTCCTCCTCCTCCTCCTCCTCCTCCTCCTCCTCCTCCTCCTCCTCCCCCTCCTCCTCCTCCTCCTCCTCCTCCTTCCGCGAGAGCCAGCGCGGTCTGTGCCCCCCCTCCCTTACAATTACACCACATGGATACTCATCTCCTCTCTCCCCCGAGTCTGTCCGGAAGCTGTTCGGCCCCCCTTCCGCGGACTGCTTACACACAGCATCGCCGGGGGTTTGGTTTTCATATGTGTTTCCGACTGTCCGATTCTCTCCGGTTCTTCAAGATGTTGCTCCCGCTGCAGCGTTGGACACATTTCTGCGCCTCCGGTTGTTCCTAATCGTGCTCCCGCTGCAGCGCGGGTGTTTTCGGTCCTTTCAAGTAGGCCCTGAAATATAGAAAGTGCCCCCCCGAAAAAACCATCGTGAGTGATTGCGCATTCGGTGCCGATTCGTTGGTTTTTGAGCCGCAGAAGCCCCCCCCCAACTTTGGGGCGTCGTCGTTTTCATGAAATATCAAGCGGGAGCCCCGTTTCCGCTTTGAGAAGGCGATGTTGAAAGCAGAGCCAGCGGGTGCTCTCCATCAGCCTAGCCTTGTGTGGAGCTTTTCGGGGAGCCCAAGGAGCTAGACATGGAGCCACGACTCCAAACCGGCCCAGACCTTTCGAAGACGATCCACGTACCCTCCTAGGAACCCGGCGTCATGCCATGACATGCTGTGCGGTGTTGTGTTCTGCGCCGCTGTGCGATGCCATGCTTTGCGTTGCAATGCTTTGTGATGCAATGCTTCACTGCACAATGCCACAACATGCTATGGCATGCTACGCTCTGCCGTGCTCTTCTACGCCATGCTATGCCGTGCTCTACCATGCATCGCGTACCCTCTCGTGATCATTGCCCTGCTCGACATCCGATTGTGCAAATAAAAAGGATATCTACCCCATGGTCAGGGATGGGAGCGAGGGGTAGGACGTCACATATGACACGAGCGCACCTAGATTGCCCCCCCCTCCTCCCCCTCATCCCAATCTCTCTCACACACACGCCACACACACACGCCACACACACACACACCACACACACATACACGCACACACACAACCTCTGACCACCGCCGAGCAGAGGTCGAACGGGTAGGGCACCGCGACCTTTCCTCGTCTTCACCCTCCTCGTCCTTCTCCACCCTCTCCTCCTCCTCCTCTACCTCCTCCCCGCTCTTCCTCCTCCTACTCCTTCTCCTCCTCCTCCTTCTCCTCCTCCTCCTCCTCCTCCTCTTCCTCCTTATCCTGAACCTGCGCCTCTCTTCGTCCTCACCCTCACGTTCGTCCTCAAGGAACAACATAAAACGGGGAACGAGGAAACTGAGGAGGAGGAGGAGGAGGAGGAGGAGGAGGAGGAGGAGGAGGTCCGGAGAGAGCGGTCGCGACGCGAACAGACGTGTCATGAGGAGAGGAACAAGCTGGAGGCTGACTTCGCTGGAGAACCGTAGGATAACAGGAACACGGGGAGGGAGGAGAATGGAGGAGAGGAAACGACGAGGAAGAGGGCCAACGGGATGATGAGTACGGGGGAGGAGGCACGGATGAATAACAACGAGGACGACGAGGACGAGAACGGAGAGAGGATGGGGACAAGCTGGGCACGCCCGACCCATCACTGATATCCTGCACCTTCCACCCTTCCCCTCCCATTAGCATGCGTTGCTGTATCTCGGCCATCAAAGCTCTCTCGGGGGACATGATCCTGAGGATGCCCCCCCCCCGTCGAATGCCCAGTCAGCTCATGAGGCCCAGTGCTTTGGACGAGGAAGAGAAGAGCCGGAGGACGAGCCGGAAGAGCAGGGCGACGAGGCAGGAGGATGAGCACCCGGAGTATCATAGGAGGAGCAGAAACACGCAGCCCCGAGGGAACCACCGCCGACGGCGAGACGATATGCTCCACTCGTCCTCCTGGCAACAGCATCGAAGAGACAGCTACCTGGGCCGCGCCTGCGGAGCTGGCGGAGGCGCGCCGTCCCAAAAAGTTGGCGGAGCGGACGTTGTGCGGAGGAGCAGGAGGAGCAGGAGGACCAGGGAAGGGCGAAGACCAGGGACGGGACGTATGCGGAGGAGCAGGAGGAGCAGGAGCAGGACGAGCAGGAGGAGGAGGAGGAGGACCAGGGAAAGGGGGGAAGGGCAAGGACCAGGAGCGCACCGGAGGTCCCGAGGTGTGGCCCGACCTGGTAGGGGGGCCGCAGTGCGGCGTCCGAGAGCAGCAGTGCAAAGCAGAGGAGCGGTGGCACTGCGATCGCAGAGCACAAGGCGCAGGTCGCCTGTCGGAGTCCCGTGTTGAAAAAACCGTGCGCGGGCGGAGGGGCCGCCCCCGCACAGCACAAGGTCTGGGGATCGAGGGGAGCAGTCTTCGGACACTTCGATCGAAAAGCACATGGCGCAGGTCACCTGTCGGAGTCCCGTGCTGATGGAAAAAACCGTGCGCGGGCGGGGGGCCACCCCCGCACAGCACAGGATCTGGGGATAGGGGGGAGCGGTCTTCGGACCGCATGCTCCCGCAAGAGGCAGGAGGAGAGGCGGGAGGAAGGGCAAGTGGCAGGGAGGCGACTAGATGCGCTCATGCCAGATCTGAACTCCGACCCCCGAACATGTGCTTTTGCGCTGCAGCCTTCTATGTCAGCAGGGCGGGCTGCCTTACAAGACCTTGACCCCCCGATGGCATTCGCAGGACTTCACCCACCATCGGGGGTGTAATCAGCGAAGGAGGCTGTGACACATTTGGAACCGAGAGGGAGAAATAACAGCAAGACATCGGCAACAAAAACGACGGCAACGACAAGCAAGGAGTAAGGAGTCGGTACCAGTGATGTGACCGTGCTGGGAATGTAGCGGCTTTCAACGACGGAAGCAAACCTGCGATCCAGAAATGATGACGCCGCTGAGAAAATAATTGGGTTTTGAAGACACGTGAAATCTGTCACATCATATGAGAAGCAGCATGCTGGAGAGGCGGCGCCATGGCAGGACTGCCATGGAAAAGAGGAGAGCACGACTCATAACGACCAGCAATTGGGCAGGAGGATGAGAAGGGGCAGGAGGAAGTGGAACAAGGAGGACGAGGAGAGCACGACTCATAACGAGCTGCACTTGGGCAGGAGGATGAGCAGGAGTAGGAGGAGGTGAAACAAAGAGGACGAGGCGGAGGCACGCTCGTGGCGCTCCCAGGGTCTGGAGCTTCGCGACACCACGGGTGGGCGGGTCTGAAGTAGCACCTGCTGGTGTAGAGGAAGTCATGTTTCCTGGTGTCGCGGACAAGACAAGACAAGACCACTTGCGATCCACTGGCAGCGCTGCAGCGCCAAGAACAACATGAAAAGAAACGTGCGTTGAATGGCTCCAGCTAGGCTAGATGTGCGCTCGCCAATGCGAGCGGCGACTTGCATAGATCGCCCTGCACGGGGGATGTCTTGCGGTGTCATGGACGGTAGGAGGAGGAGGAGGAGGAGGAGGAGGAGGAGAAGGAGGAGAAGGAGGAGGAGGAGGAGGAGGAGAAGGCGGAGGACGGGGAGAGGAGGAGGAGGAGGAAGAGGATGAGGAGGAGGAGGAGGAGGAAGAGGGAGAGGGAGGAGGGAGGAGGAAAAGAAACGACAGGAAGGACCTCTTCCTCATGCCCTCCACGGGCGCGGAGGGAGCCTCCAGGTGAGCCCTGACGCCCCGCGACAGCTTCTGCATGATCGCCAGGGTGCGCACCATGTCCCTTAGGGGCCAGCTCCCTTCCCCGACGCGCCATCGACCGACCCCGGGGGCCAGCTTCGCGACCACAAGAAGGAAGTCCGACAGGAAACTGCACACCCTCCCCCCTGGCCACCCGGACGCACACCACGACCACGCAGGGAACTCCAGGACGAGGCAAGACGGCGAGAACTCCGGGAGCGCCCCGCGGCGGCGCCGCTGAGCCGGCGAGCTCCGCCGCCACCCGTTCGTCCTCCGCCCCTCGTCCTCGTCGTGGCAATGCTCCTGCTGCTCTCCTCCTCTTCGTTCTCCTGTTCCCATGACTCCATCCTCCCCCTCGTGCTCCTCGTGGCGCCTCCTCCTCCTCCTCCTCTTCCTTTTCGTCTCTTCCTCGTACTCAGCCTCCCCCTTCTCGTAACCATTCTCATCCCCGTCCTCCTTTCTCCCTTTCCTCCCCCTGTCAAGCGGCGGGCTGCAATCGAGGCGTCAAGGTACCGCGGGGGGGGGGCACTGCACAGTGGGGGGCGCCAGGGCGCCGCGAAATGACGGGCAAGGATCACGAAGCGCAAAGCACGTCCTCCTCCTCCTCCTCCTCCTCCTCCTCCTCCTCCTCCTCCTCCTGCTCCTCCTCCGAAGAACTCCTCGATTCCTTCCAGGCCCCTTTCTGCCTGTCCTGCTTTCGCTGCTGCTGTTGCTGCTGCTGCTGTTGCTGCTCCTCATTCTCCTCCTGGTGATCCTTCTGCTGCTCCTCCTCGTCCGTCTCCTCCTCCTGGCATCCCAGCCACATTTCAGCCGGCAACTTTTGACTACCTTTAACACCCTCTTGCCCCGAGAAACCACCCAAATCCGTGAGAGTGAATTTCCGTGGCGTGCAATGCTGGAGTCAGTTGCCACCAAGACCCCGTCTCTCATCTCGGAATTTCTCGTGGGATTCGTCGTCGTCAAGGCTAAATGCCCTCGCAGACTGAATGACCTCACATGACTCAGACTGCAATCAAGCAGCCGTCTATGAATGATGCGTCCTCCCTTTAAACATCAAATCTTTAGCAGGGCTATGGAGGTACCGGATGGCATCAGAGACGTGGGCCAATCTGCCTAGGCGGCCAGTGCGTCAAAAGCACCACCCCCATGTGGGCCGAAGCGAGATGCCTGCGGGGTGGGTCATTCCGAGCGAGAGACCTGTCAATCAACACGCCTCTAGGGTCTTTCTCATAACCCTGGTTCCGTTTTTTCATTATCGTCGTCGTCTCGTCGTCATCGTCAACGCGCCACTGCCGCCACTGGGGACGCGAAACGGACGAGAGGTGTTGGAATCTGAGCGAAGGACGAAGGTGTTGGAATCTGGGCGAACAGCGAGGTGCTGCGCGAGGGTTGGGCATCATGGCGAGGTGGGCAGAGTGCGTGAGCGCCCACTCTGGCCTCAGCCCGGGCGCCCCGTCGGGAGCAACGCAGTGCGCGAGAGGCTTGCTCGAGGGATCGCACGGGGACGCGCCCGATCAGGCCGTGCTGGGGGCTCCCTGCCGGGGCAGCGCAGTGCGCGATGGGCGGGCCACTCTGGATGGGGGGGCCACCTGCGAGCGCCATCACCTAGGGCCTGCCGAAGAGGGCGGAATGTGCCAGAGAGTGGGTTCGGTCGGCGGCAATGATTATATTGTGTGTATGTTGTGCGTGTGTGTGTTTGTGTGTGTATGTGTGTGTGTGGGGGGGGGGGCGCATCCAAGAAAGGGACGCCATCACTGGAGCCTCAGCCCGGGTCCCCTGTGAGGGGCCATCACGCGCGAGGCGTAGGCAGCGTGATGTGGGGGATGCAGCACGCCAAATGGGACCGTAGTCCGGGCTTCGTTTCGGAGGGCCGACATGCGCACATGCGCGGGATTGGCAAAATCGGGGTGAGGGCCAGTCTGCAAACAGACCTAACGAGGACTCAATTCCAGCTCCCATTGGATGGGATGAGCGTCGTGATGCCGTGGTGTCGCTGTGTCCTGGAGACGTGGTGCCACTGTGTGCCGATGTCGTGGTGTCATCTTGCAGGGTGTCCTGGTGTCGCGGGTTTGTGGTTGGCGGCGTGGTGTCACAGTGTCCAGCTGTTAGTAGTGTCAATGTACCGTTCGTGGTGTGCTATTGTCATTGCGTCGTGGTGTCCGCATGTTTCTCCGTGTCGTGGCGTGTCGTGTCGTCGCGGCGAGGTGGCTTTTTGGCGACGCGGCATTCGGGTCCTGGTATCGCGTTAACGTGGCATGTTGGTGCTCCAGTGTGATTGTGTCGTGGATGTGGCTTCAATGTGGGCTTGGCTTCTACGGTTGGAGCCGTGCTGATACCAGAAACTAATCGTGGCACCCTTGATGGTATCATGTCGCTGTTCTTACGCTCTCTTATGGAAGGATGAAGAATCGCCGTCGCCAGCCCCCCGGCCAACGGCCAACCCTTCCAAGCAAAGCAAATGGAAGCGCGTGGGCACGCTCAGACTGGGCTTCCTGGTATCGGTGTTGGCAGCCTTCGAGGTAACATCACCCTCACATTTCACAGAGCTTGAACTTCACATCACTCGAGTAGTGAAGCTGTGACTTGTGTCATGGCCTGGGTCTTGCAGCTGACCTGAGTCTCTCTCAGCTTCAGCTTCAGCTTGGCATCCCCTCTGACATCGGCATCGATTGCTGCTGAACTCCGTAGCGTTTGCATTATCAGTGTGATCGTATCGTGGCGTTGTTGCTCCGGTTCAGCTGTGTGGCCAGCTTGCTAGTCTGGCCTTCGCCCAGCGTTTGCACTGTCGTTGGCTCAGCTCTGAGCCCCAACTACCAGCTACCCGCTTCAGCTTTACAAGCAGACACTCCTTGCGTTTAGGACTTGAGGCTGTTCGATTCCGTTGTGTTGCACCAACATCCCGAGCATCGCATGGTAGCTCTGTGTGCTGCCGGGTAGCTGAGCGCAGTGGTGGATTGTCAGTTCAGCAAACTTGTGTATGAGTCACCTCCGTATTTTCGGAGTGTGTTCTTAGCTAGATCAGTATGTCGCTCTATGCAGATGAGGCCAACGCAGTCACCATAACGAAGTATCTTTCCGACGCTCAAACAAAATCAGCAGGTACATTAAAACCAGAAAACATGGTATATATTTATACGACGGCACAACCAAGAGATTATGATAGAGCTGTCTGCCAATGTTAATGCAAAACTGAACTGCGCGACTACGCGGAAGAGGGGGAGGAAAGGGGAAGGACAGGGGAAGGAATGAGAAGGTGAGCAGGGAGGGAGGCATTGCGGTAGGAGAGCTGTAGAAGGGTGGAGAGGGGAAGGGATGGGTTGAAGCAGAAATAATAAGTGGAGCGGATCGGACAAGAAAGCTGCCTTCCCTCCGCAGGGCCCTGCATGCGCTTCGTGCCGTCAAAGAACTCGTCGAGAGAGACGAACCCGTCGCCAGTATCCATCATCTTGAAAACCTCCTCCGCATTCTCGCTGGTGATATCGAGCACCTGGACAGCACAGCCCACTTCTCCTCCTCCTCGTAATTTTCCTCCTGTTGCTGTTGCGGCTTCTCCTCCTCCCTTTGCTCGTCCTCCTCCTCCTCCTCTCCCTCCATCTCCTCTCATCCTCGTCATCCTTCTCCTCCTTCGCAGATTGGCTGATATTGTCAACTACCTAGGCAGCAGGCTCCGCTGTTGGCAAACGGTGGCTCAAGAACCTGGAGGCTTCTTCCATCCTTTCTCTCACCCTCCCTCCTCCCCCATTCTCCCCTGTGCTCCCTCTAATTCACCATCCCCACCCCATCATTTACTCCTCACTCATCTTTGTTCCTCACGGTTCATCATCCTCTCCTTCGCCTGCACACCCAAACCTTTCTCCTCCCAGCTCGCCGAGAACAATTGGAGTATGAGGCAGAGACAAAGACTGCAATGGTGTCCTGGCTCGTGCAAGAGGTTATGCCTCGAGTTTCCGGTGTCTCCTCCTCTTCCTCTTCCTCCCCCTCCTCCTCCACCTCTTCCTCCTCCATACTGCGACGTCTTCCTTGCCGCCGGTCCACACATCGTATCGGTGTCTCGCCTTCCCAATGCCCCTGCGCACGCGCGCGAACGAGGGCGGAACACCCAGATATCTTTTCTGGACCACGGGTGGCCAAGGGATTCGAAGAGGCGGAGCAGGGGGACGAGGAGGAGAAAGAGGATAATCGAAGAGTCATGACGAGGCAGGCGGAGGAAGATGCAGGAATAAGCATACCACGGTGGGCATTAGGAAGGGAGAAGAGGAGCAGCAGCAGAGACAGGAGGCAGCGGCGAGAAAGGGTACGATAATGAAAAGGGGGAGGCGTGACGAAGGGAGGGGGGGGATGAGGAGGACGAGGAGGAGGAGGCGGGATGCTGGCAGAAAAGCTATGCAGGAGCAGGTGCGCCTGGAGCTGCCTTCCAAGCCACTGGTGGCTGCAAGCGTTCTTCAGCTCCTCAACGGTGAGGACCTCGTCGCCATCCTCATCGATCTCTTCGAACAGCCTCCTGCACCGCTTCTCCGCCTGTGAAGGCGCCGGGCTCCCTGCTCCCAGAGTCCGCCGGCCCCTCCCGATGGAAGGAGGGAGGAAGCACGGGACGAGCGAGGAGGGCCGAGGGAAGAGCGAGAAAGGAGGGAGGCGAGAGCAGAGTCGAGGAGGAGGAGGAGGAGGAGGAGGAGGAGGAGATGGAGGAGGAGGAAAGGAGGAGGAGGAGGAGGAGGAGGAGGAGGAGGAGGAGATCAAAGCCGAGGAATGGGGAGGGGGGAGCAGTGGGTGGACGACAGGACCAAGCACGACGCGTGAGGCGGGACGGATGCGGGATGAGAGAGAGAACGGGAGCGAGGACGCACGAGGAGGGACGAGGAGGAGGGAGGAGGAGGAGGAGGAGGAGGAAGAAAAGGCGGAGGACGAGAACGAGCGGGACGAGGGGGACAAGCAGAGCCGAGGAGCGAGGAGGGTAAGAGGATGCACGAGGGGGCTGCAGCCAGTATGCCGAGGAGGCGAAGCCACCACTTGCGAGCTCGCACGCGCCCGCTCGCCGCCCCCCGGCGCCCCCTCGCCGCGAGACCGCGCGGGGGGTCACCGTCGCCCCGCGGCGCCTTCTTCTGCTCCCGCTTCTTCTGCTGCCGCACCTCCTTCTCGTCCTCGCGGGACCTTCGGGGAGCCACAGTGCAGGCCCCCTATACTGTTCGTAGTCTTAGCGAGGGGGGTCTCTCTCCCTCTCTCTCTCTCTACATAGAGACAGAGAGCGACACTTGGAGATAGTGAAAAAAGACAGACAATGCTATAGAGAGAGAGGGAGAGGGGGAGAGAGAGGGAGATTACGGGGATATAGAGAGAGGGAACAAGAGAGAGAGAGAGACAGAGAGAGAGAGAGACAGAGAGAGAGAGAGCGGGGGAGGGATGGAGGGCAGAGAGAGGGGGAGGGAGAGGGACATAGAGAGAGGGAGGACGAACTAGAGAAGGAGGTAGTGCATAAAGACAGAAAGAGAGAGAGACTGAGAGACAGAGCGCGAGAGAGAGGGAGGGAGAGAGACGGAGGGAGAGAGATGCTGACATAATGAACCTACATGTGTATCTACGTGTACTCAACCATGTGTGTGGACAGATATTGAATGCGTCTGGTAATCATTGGTAATCACTGTATACGCATATTATACACATACAGCAGACCAAGAAAGAGCACACACACACACACACGTAGAGAGAGTGAAAGAGAGAGAGAGAGAGAGGCGAACAGAAATGCAATGATGATGCGCAATGGAGAGAGAGAGAGACGGAGAGAGATAGCGAAACAAACACGGCGATATATATATATATATATATATGTTCCAGGCTCGGGGATACTGCCAGGCCAGGATGTTTTCCTCATCAGTACGCTGATTCGATCTGTGTGCTGCGAGCGCCGAGAGCTTATCTGCACGAGTGCTGTACGCAGCACCCGAAGAGAAACGGGCTGGACAGGATAGACATGACAGCCTGAAAACCCAAAGCGCCTTACATATAGAGACAGAAAGAGAGAGATGGAGAGAGAAAGAGAGAGAGAGAGATAGAGATCGGCAAAGAAAGCGAACGGAAGGTTGAGAGGCGGGTGTAGGCTACACCTGTGCAGGAAGCGAATGGCTATGAGCATGCGTGTGCTCATGTATTTGTGTGTTCGCGTGCGTGCACATGTCCGCCACCGTGCCCTCGAGGCACGACGTGGAGTGTCCTCAGGTCCCTTGTTCGATCCTTTGACGCCTCAGTCCTTAATCCTGAAGATTATTCAAAGGGCCCGCGCCGCAAACTATCAAATCGTCCGGGGCTTTTCGCGTGCCCTCTGGGGCCCGCTGCGGCTTGTCGCGTGACGTTGCCGAGCCCAAGCGGGTCCCAAGAGGCCCCCAAGACGGTTCAAGAGGGTCCCGAATCGCCGACAAAAACGCTCCAAGACGCCCAAGATGGCCTCAAGACAACCCACAATTCCCCCAAGACGTCCGAAGAGGCCTACGAGCAGTCTGGGCTTCCCGACGCTCCAGGATGGCCCAAGAGGCCACCTGGATCGCACTAAGACGGCCCAAGAGGCCCCCAAAATGGCCCAAGCACAGCTCAAAAGGGCCCCAAGGCGGCCGGAGAGGCGCCCAAAACGGCCCCAGACTCAGAGGTTCCAAAGACACCATTGCTTCAATCGAGGCACTTGTCCTCCTCATAATCATCCTCCTCCTCCTCCTCCTCCTTCTCCTCCTCCTCCTCCTCCTCCTCCTCCTCCTCCTCATAATCCTCCTCCTCCTCCTCCTCCTCGCCGTCGCCCTCCTCATCCCCACCGGGGCGGCCGAGGGAGAAACACCAACTAACACGAGCAAGAGACGCGCGCCGCCCAGCACGTTCCGATGCGGCCCCACCATTCGGCCGTCTCGGGGCGGAGGGGCCAGAAGTTGCTGGCTGTCTCCCCTGCTCATGTGAAGGGGAACTGGGATACACAAATAAATACACACAAATAAAAATATCCCCCATATTTCCCCATATTTTCTGGGTTTTTGTCTTCCCCCCCACTTCCCATATTTTCCAATATTTTCTGGGAATCGCCGATTAATTGTGTCTGTGTGTTTTTTCCCTTCCTGATCATGCTCGTGCTCGTCCTCCCCCATCGGGCTCCTGCTCCTTCTCTTGCTCCTCCCTCCTCCCGGCGGAGGGCAGAGGGGTCGCAGCGAACGGAGCGAAGCCCGAAGGAAGTCACAAATGCCAGCCCGCGGGTCGGACCTCTTGAGCGCGTTGTCCACAATCCGTCGGCCCCTGGCTGGCTGCCAGGGGCAGGGCCAGCGATGAAGCGCAGTGCCCCTCTCACACACAGCGGAGGACGACGAAAAGGAGGACAAGGACGAGGACGATGAGGAAGGGCAGAGACGAGGGGAACGCTTACAAGGAAGACAGGGAAGCCGGAACAGGAGAGGAATCATAAGACGACGGCGCAGGAACGGGAGGAACGACGAGGAGAAGGATGGGCAACCGGGAGGGGGAGAAGGCCGAGGAGGAGAGGATTACCAGGTGCCTGTGGAAGAGGCAGCGGATCAGGAGATACGGGTGACACCTTCCTGTGGGTGCGGGGCACAGCCACCCGAGAAACCACTGCGAACATCCCTGCGGGGACCGCAGGGACGCTCGCCCTCGAGACGACCGATGGGCCTCGAAACGCCACAACGTTGGCAAGCCTCCTTCGTGACAGAGTCCAGGCTTTCGTTGGTCGGAGCTCCCGGCCCTCCTGGCGCCACAGAAACACACAAACACGCACACAC